CGCGCTCTGGGCCCGTGGCCAGCCTCTCCCACCCCGCAGTTTCCTGGATGCCCAGGGGCATGGGCAGGTTCCTGGGACCTGGCTGCATGGCAGTGTCGAGTGTTGGCAGAAGTGCCTGCCCTGCAGGAGAAAAGATTAGCCCAAGGTGCGGAGCCGCCCTGGGCCCGTGGCCAGCCTCTCCCACCCCGCAGTTTCCTGGATGCCCAGGGGCATGGGCAGGTTCCTGGGACCTGGCTGCATGGCAGTGTCGAGTGTTGGCAGAAGTGCCTGCCCTGCAGGAGAAAAGATTGTAGCCCAAGGGGCGTCACGGTCTTGGTTTTGTTATATTTCCGAGGGCAAAAGAGAGCTATGAGGCATCTCTTTTGGGAAGGGCTGATTAGGGAGGAGCTGGAGATTTGGGCCTGCTTGAGTGTAGCAATTTGGAGCCGTGCTGAGAGATTGTTCCCTGAGAGCTCCAGCACCAAAGAGAGGCAAGCCTCATGCAAGGGGTGCCCGGGGCTTGGGCATGGAGCCTTCTGATGCTTGACTTTGTCCACGTTTTGGTCATGGCCCTGGAAGGTTCTTCACATTCATGGTACTGTCTGGGTGGGCGGCAGGAATGAGGAGGGCCAGGTGTGGAGGTACTCAGTGTGATGCTGCGGGTTAGGGTTAGGGTTAGGATGGGCCTGTGATTTAAGATTGGATGGACCAGGGTGTCAGATGACCCAAGTGCATTCTGGCCATGGCCCAAAGACAAGAATGAGTCTGTCTGGTATCCTGGTCCTGGAAGAGACGGCATTGGGGCCAAGCCTGACCAAGATTGGACCAGGAGGGCCTCTCCCGTCCTGCCTTGGTGCCTGGCTGTAGGCTGCACCCTCTGAGCCCTGCCAGGTCCCTCTGGCCATCCCATCCCACCACTGATCTCCAAGCTCAGTATCTCTTGACCCTCAGGGCCATGGGATGGGAAAAGTGCCCTGGGATGGCGGAGGCAGAGGCAGACATGGGAGGGGCCCTGGGCAGTTACGATAAGCCCAGCCCACTCGCCCCCACAGTGCACAGCAGGCAGGTCTGAGCAGGGCCCACAGCCTGTCATCTGCACTTGGGCCCCAGCCAGTGCGGCTCCAAATCGCTACCTGAGGATGTGTTTTCTGCTCAAGTTGGCAGCCATGGGTGTGGGGGCAGGGAGGCCCTGGAGGAATGTGGCGGGCCAACGCGTGTCCCCGTGGCTTTCTGCCCTGCCGGCCGGCTGTCCTATGTGGAGCCTGATGGGGCAGGCCCTTGCCTTCCCTGGAGCCTAGACCCTACTTCACTTCTGCCCAGCTTGCCCCCTTCCTCTTCACGGCTGGTTCCCTCAGGTGCCCAGACAGGGGCAGATACCTTCCCAGTGAAGGGCCAGAGATGCAGGGTAGCAGAGCTGTACACTCCCGTTTCCCTTCTCTTCTGCCATGTGGCCTAGCTGCCAGCCCAGAGCTGGTACCATGATGCCAACACCCTGGTATTTCCGCTGGGTCGATGGCAGCCACAGGCTGTGCTGCTCCAGCTTGCCACAAGTCCGGCTCTGTCCCATTAGCTGGGGTGTGTTTGGAATCCAGGTGCCCACTGGGGCAGTGGCTCACTGGACAAAGTAAGAATTGAGTCCAGGCTCTTGGACACGGAGGCAGGAGAGTGGAGGCCTCTCTTAAGACCAGCTAGCACTTAAAGCTCCATAGGCTTGAGGAAGCCTTGTGAAAGACAGAAGTGCAGTTATGGATGTAGACCAGGGGCTGGCTGGGCTCTGCACATGCCCAGTGTGTGCCGTGGCCACATCTGTGGCTCAGCCTCCTTGAGTGGGTGGGCCCAAGCCTTGGATGTTGAGGACTGTGGTACCCAGCATGCTGCCCACCAGTGGGGGCCACCCTTCTCTCTTGGCCCTGCCCCATCTATCTCTCAGGACATCCGTGTCACCCTGGGTTGTCACTGATTTCTGGTCTACGGCTGGCAGGGTGGAGACCACGTTTGCTCACATGTGTCAGTATTCTGTGGGTATGGCCAGTGGCTGATGGACCACTTGGAAGGGAGTGAAGCATTTTCTTGGTTCAGGGCACTACTAGTTGAGTGGGGAGCAGGATGGTCGAATTTGAGGAGTCATGGCAGCCCAAGACCCTGCCTCATAGTGGGCTACACGGAGAAGAGCTGTTGTGGTCCTTCTGAGGCTGTCCCTGTCTAGCAACCCACCTGCTTGGCCCAGAGCCCTGCCCAGGATGAGGCTCTTAGGGGCAGACCTATCTTGGAACATGCTGTGTTGGTGCCAGAAGAGCAGCTGTGCTGGGTGGTATGATACAAGGAAGACCCCATAGTGGGTATGGAGTATGGGAAGAACAGAAGTGGGCAAGGCTCTGTGGATGGCCAATAGGCCAGGCTGACCCTTCTCTGATGGCTCCATCTGTGGCCAGCAGGGGCTGCTTTCCTTGCTTGAGCTGGACAGGGTGGGCGTTTCCCTGGGGCCTTGTAAAACCAGGTAGAACTGCAGGGCACCCAGTTTGGGCTCTACTGGAGCCCCTCTGGCTATCTAGTGGAAGGTCAGAGTCCCTGAGGACCATGCCTTGTTTAGGGGAGGGCAGGTGGAACTTGCTTTGGCTGGTCAGGACCACAGGCCGGTACAGGGTGGGAGTATGGACATGGCCTGGCTCCATTGTACCCATTTGCCCTGAAGGTCTGGCTGGTCTAGGTAGTGACCCCCCCACCCCTCGTCCATCTTCAGGGTCCCTTCTGAATGGCAGGGACACTGCATCTGCCCTGCCCACACCTCATCAGATGGAATTTCTTTGGGTTGGTCTAACCTGGGTGGGTTTTTTGCTCTGTACCTGGCTACTACTTGGGAGTCTTGTCTGGGGCTTTGGCATGGCAAAGGCTGCAGGAATCAGGGAGGGCTGCCCTGGGCAGTGGAGGGTTTGAAAGTGGCTGAGGGCCAAGTCCCTGGGCCCTGGAGTGTGGATGGCATGGGAATGGGATCATGGATGCCATGCAGCACGGTTGATTGGGAAGGAATCATGGCTTCTAGGATCACTTAGGTTGCACAGACTTCTAGGACATAGTAGGGGGCAGTTTGGGCCAGTGAGAGTTTCTGAGCGGGTGAGGCCCCAGACAGAGCACCCACTCCTTGGACTCCAGGACCAGCTCCCTGTCCCCACACCCCTGCCTGAGCTGGTCCCTGTTCCCATGAGTGGACTTGAGACTAGACCTTGGCCTCCTGTGACCCTAGGTGGCTATGGGAGGGGTTGGAGCCTCCTGCCTCCCTTCAGAGTAGGAGACTAGGGGGTGGAGTGGGCCCTCACTAGTCTCTCTGGGGTGGGCTGCTCCTGCCATGGCCTTGGGGCCTGGGATACTCCCTCCCTTTCTCCCTGGGGTGAGGATGGTGGCAGAGTCCTGGGTCTCTCCAGAGCTCAGGTTTCAGGAAATGTATCTGTGCTTAGGGCTTCTGGCATCAGTACTGGCACCTGGCTCCATGGGGGCCCAGGTTGGGATGCTGAGGGTCTTTGACAGGCAGACCCCAGGCCTGGGGTACTGGCCTGCTGCTGGGTCAGAGCTTAGCCTTGCAGCAGAGAGATAGGATTTTGGTGGAGGTGGTTGGGGGAGTGGTGGAGGATGGAGCCTCCACTGGATGGGTGGATGGCTAGTCAGTCAGGCTTCCCTGGGT